TGTGAAGTTCAGCAAAGGCAAATGCCAGGTCCTGCCCCTGGCAAGGAGAAACCCCATGTAGCTGCGCAAGCTGGGGGCTGACCAGCTGGAAGTCAGCTTTACAGAAAAGGCTTTGGGGATCTGGTGGAGAGTAAGTTGAGCATGAGCCAGCAGTGCAACATCGTGGCTAAAAAGCCACAACAGCATCCTGGGCTGCATTAGGAAAAGCCTCCCAAGGAGGCCTGGTGGAGTGATCCTTCTTCTCTACTCAGCCTTGTTGAGACCACATCTGGAGAGCTGTCCCTTGGGCGTGGCTCCTGAGTACAAGACAGACATTGACATCCTGCAGAGTCCAGCCAAGGGCCACCAGTGCAGTCTGGCTGGAGCATTCGGCTTGTGGGGAGAGCCTGGGAGGGCTGGGTTTGTTTAGCCTGGAGAAGAGAAGGCTTAGGGTGGATCTTACCAGTGTGTGCAAATAACTGATGGGAGGGAGCCCAGCCCGCTGAAAGAACAAGAGGCCATGGACATGAATTAAGATACAAGAAACTCCATTTAAAGAAAAAGCTTTTTTAGTGTAAGACTGATGGAACAGAGGAACAGTTTCCCGGAGAAGCTGTGTAGTCTCCATCCTTGGAGACAGTCAAAACCAGACTAGACGTGGTCTGTTAGCATCCTGCTCTAGTTGGCTTTTTTTTTGAGTGAAGATGTTGGACTAGATGATCTCCAGAGGTCCCTTCCAACCTCAACCATTCTGTGATTCTATGGAAGCATGGCTGACCAACTAGTTGCTTCCTTACATGATGCAAGTGGTGCTGTGGACAACAGGGAGTCTGTGGGTTTTGTATAACTTGACTTTAGCAGGGCTTTTAGCTTTGTGTTCTTCAAGCCAGATTGTTGAGGTATGTACAGAATAAGATTCATGGACAAGATGGATGGAATACTGGCTAGACTTTCAATGGAGTCATGGTCATTAGTGCATAGTCTACTTGGCAGGTATTAATTGAGGGAGGGGCCCTTAAAAATCAGTACAGGGACCAGTACTATATAATGTCTTTATTAGTGACCAGGGTGGTGGGATGGAGTGCACTTTGAGCAAGTTTGTGTGTGATCCAAAATGGGTGGGAACGGTGAATATATTGGCTGGTAGGGCTACTATTATTCAGAGAGACCTTGGCAAACTCAAGAAATGGACTGATGGGAACTCCATGAGTTGGGAAGTCTTGTTTCCAGGATAGAATAACCCCAGGCTACAACAGTGCAGGCTGGCAGGAGCAAGTGTTTGGGAAGTAGCTCTGCAGAGAAAGACCTGTAGATCTTAGTGGACAACAGGAGTCAACAGTGTGTTCTTGCAGCCAAGAAGGCCAACCATCTCCTGGATTAGTAAGAGTATTAGTGGGTCGAGGCAAGTGACCCTACTCCTCTAGTTAACACAGTGCTGGTCTCACAAGTGCCCAGTTCTTGGATCCTCAGTACAGGAAATAGGTGAACACACTGGAGTGGGTCCACCAAGACAGTCAGAGGGTGGGAGTATGCGACATACAAGGAGAGGCTGAAAGAACGGGGTCTGCCCAACCTTAAGAAGAGAAGGCAAAGACCTGTTGAGAAGCTATAGAGAGGCTGGAGCCAGGCTGTGCTTGGAGGTGCACAGAGGGAGGAAAGGCAAGGTGGAACATGGGAAATTCTGCCTAGACATAAGGATTTTATTTTGTTGGTTTTTTTTAAACCATGGCCAAACACTGTCACAGGTTGCCCAGAGAGGTTGTGGAATCTCCGTCCTTGGAGTTGTTCAAGACTTGACTAGACATGGCCTTGAGAAAGCTGATCTGATTAGGCCTGCTTAGAGCAGCACACTGGACTAGGTCGTATCTGGAAGTCACTTAATTTTTTAAAAAAGTAAATTCTACAATTTAATAGGATTGTGATTTTCATTTTTATTTGTGAACGTGACCTAGGGACATAAGAATATATTTGACTTATTTCAATTGAGCTTTATTTCAGCAGGTAGACCTCCCTTTTCCTCAAAAATATTTTAAAGTAGACTTCTCAAACTTTCCATAACACTGTATTCTCTTTATGTCTTTCCTTAAATGTACTGCATTTCTATTCACTAAGCACAAATTTTGTAAAGAATTTCCTTGAAGGAGAAGACACTTTACATGATGATCTTTAAAATTCTAGGTTTGGAGACTTGTATGTGGGAGAACAATATGTCTTGATTTGAAAGACACGTTCTGCAGCAGTCTGCTCATTTACAACTTTAGAATATTTGAAAGAAGATATGGCAGCAGAAAATTTTCAGTAAGTTGCAGTTACATTTGTTTTTAACAGAAACTATGTTCTACACTGTTTAGCATCTTGTAGTCTTGCATTAATATTGCAGTTTTATTCCTAATATTTTATATGAAAATATATATTAAAAGGTTTTAAAGATAATTTGCTTTCCATAAATATATCATTGATAATATCTTGTAGTCAGTGGATTATTCTAATTAAAGTTTGCAGCTGTATCAGCTGAAAGTTATAAGACCCATAGAATTTAATTTTGGTAACAGATCTAACTTCTCATTCTGCAGTATCTGAGGTTGTGTAGATCAGTATGTAGATATGGAATTACATTGTGCTAAAGATCTTGTCTTAATTGAACTGCTATAGTTGTTTACATGTTTTTTTCTTTTATTTAGAGATGCATTTAAACTGTTGAATTAATTCAACTTGAATTTTTTCCTTTCAGTCATTTTTACTGGGCACTTGGATGCTCTCAGCTTTATTTGATCTTCTCCTTGTAGAAGTTGCTCAGTATATGTTTGGCATCACCATCAACAGCTTGCCTTCTGGTTTGTAAGTAGCTCCTAATGGATTGGTTATTTTAGGTATAGTTTCAGGGGATTATTGTTTTGTGCAGATTCTAATTTAAAGAAAACTTTCTTCATTTGGCTCTTCAAATTAAATTTAATTCTCTTTTGAACTACAATGTAAAGGGTTTTGGCACAGCTATTATATTTTCAAACATTCGTTTCATGGTTGCGATCTGTGGTTAATTAATTTATAATTGATGCATATAATGGTTACTTGCCATTCTGCTATTGCCATTTCAACTGTCAGTGTGATTGACACACAGTTTGCAGCGCACAAATTATTGCCCTGTTTGGTTTTTGTTCAATTTGGTAAATCTGAAAACTGAAATCAGGTTGGTGCTGAATTCTTTCTTAAATCACAAAGACAGGACAACAGCAATTCATATCTTTATGTTCACTTTTAAATGCATATGCAGTTGTCTGCATTTCACACTGGTATTTTGTATGTTTGTTTTTCAAATATTGAGTGCTAGAGCATGTTATTCCATTTAGTGCTTGTATCTGAAGTTCTTAAAGCTTTAAGATATTTAATGGTTCAGTTTTGCATAACCTATATTTGAGACTTCTGCACTTAATAAGAGATATACATGTTACAGTAGAACCACAGAGCTTGAAGGGCCTTTGTGGTTAAGCTTCTGACAGGTAAGATCAGCCCCATACAGACTTGTGTTTTTTTCTTTGTGTCGCACCCTCTGAAGTAATAATAAAAGGTCCTGGAGAAAAATTTTAACATTAAACACCGTATTAGACTTTTTTTATTTCTACTGCTTTTTAGTGTGTCCCTTAAAAGTAGCTAAAGGCCGATTTAATAAGGAAGAAAAAGCATGGGTTTGACATTATAAAGATACATATTTTTGTGACATGTGAGTAGTCAAAAGGCGTTGAAAGCTTGAGTAGCAGTGCAGTTACTCGTATTGGCTACTTTGAGGTTTGTTGCTGGGACATAGGCTGCCAGTGTGTTTAGGCAAATCCAGTATTTTCATCTGTGTAACAACATACTTTGTGCAAGATTAGGGTGTAAGAAATGTATACATCATGCCCATAGGGAACTAATGAACAGTTTGACTATTACACCTTTTGATGGTATTTTTAATCTATGACTGCAGAATGTTGTCAGTTACAAAGAAATCTGCATCAAAAAAAGTTTTTAGTTGAATGAAATATAAATGTTACCTATGTATGCTTTCCTTTCAAGTTGTGCTAACATTGATAATGAGAGAATGAAGCTAATTTTAGAAGTGTGTGGTATACAGCAGTTTCAGGAGCAGCTGATTGTGCAAATATAAGAAATTATGTGTTGCATTGTAATTCCTCAGTGTTGTCTGTTTTATTATACTGTTAGTCACTTTTCCACATCTGACAATATTCACAGTCTTTTGAGGTGACAAAAGCATTGGAAACTTTTAACACTGATACTGGGTTTTATTTCATTTCAGATTTATAAAAGCTATTGAGCAAATATAAAGAGGTGCAATTGTTATTCTGCTTCTGTCGTATTTATGGTGCAAGAAATGTATTTGTCGCTTGCAGCTCTAGAACATTCTTTGATGTAGTCAAAACTCTAGAATTTGGAAAAAAGAATCACCTGTTTAGTTTCTAAAAATCCCCTGACATTTTTTTTTCTCTTTTTATATCATTTCACTGTTCATATTACTGAGCGATCTTACACTTGCAGTTCGAAAACTTTTCCTGCGCACACTTCGAAGGTAGTTGCGATACAGGATTACACTGATGACTCTTGCCTGAAATTGTTTAGAAACAATATAGTACAGTATAACATCCAAGCACGTACTGAGATTCATGAGGAAGGTGGTAAAGGCTGCCCAGGGGCTGTAAGTTTTATCTTCATCTTGCAACATCAGGAAGGCAAAGCAGATGTGGAAGGGTACAAAGCAGATGAGTACTTGAGCGATCAGAGTAAGTATGATGCGTATGGATCTCTCCTTGGCCTTAGGCTTCAGTTTAGAAGTCTTGCCACGGATAAAATTGTAAATAATTACTAGGTAACACCCTATCATGATAAACAAGGGAACCAAAAAGAAAAAAATCAAGCGAGAAAAGTTCAATGTATTTACTTCCTTTAAATGGATGATATCAAGCATTTTCATGCAAGTGGTGAAATTCGAGGCTTTATCCGGATCAGACTGTAAAAACAGCAATGGGGACGTTGTGGCGAGGGTCATTACCCAGATTCCAGAGCAAGCCAGCACAGCTTTTTTTGTGTTTTTTAGTTCTTTGACATGTTTGGGCTGGACAATAGCCATAAATCTGTCTACGCTTATGAAGGTGAGGAACCACAGAGCAATGGCTGGATAAAATACAGTGAAAGCACCGATAATCCGACAGGAGGTGTCTCCAAAAGGCCACCTTTCCTTCCCGTGGTAGATTATCCGAAAAGGCAAGGACAGTATAAAAATTATGTCAAGTAATGCCACATTCATCATATATACAGTTATAGTTGTTCTCTTCTTGGTAGTGCAGCTGAAAACCCATAGTGCAGTGGCATTCACCAACAATCCCACTGTGAATACAAAACTGTAGAAGACCAGCGATGAAATCCTGTATTCTTCAGGTTGGTGATTTCCAGGCATCATGTTTTAATTGAATCTAGGCATAGTAGTTTCATTCCCTAAACACAGATAAAATATTAAAAGTTATTACCAAATAAAAGTTTTCTTTAGAAGCAAACAAGACTGTTGTAGGATGGGGATTAGTGATGAGGTTGTACTGTTTCTCTGTGAAAATGTGCTAGCTTTGCTGCTTTTTCTGACTGCAAATAACATTATTGTGCTCTGAAAGAAGGACATGTACCACCAGACTTGTGAGAAACAGTATTTATAACCTAGTTTTAATGAAATATTTTTAATAACTTAAGAAATTTCTTATATAAGGAATCAAAAAGTCAAGATTGACCAGCTACTTTGAGTGTGCTTCAGTTGCTGATAATAAGATTGAAACAGTGATTAGATTGAAAGAGCTAGTTGTCCCTGTTGGAAAACTGTTGACTAAAACTAGTTATGAAAAGAAGTAAGTGAGCATGGCATGTTGTGACATTTGGATATGCAAAGTGAAGTACTGAGTTTGCATTTTAGCTGTGTAGGAGCTACTCAGCTCCCAAAAGAATAGGTACATACTGTTCCTCATAAAAGACACTAAAGAGCTGTCTTAATAGCTAGATAGTTTCTAACACAGTATTTAATCCCCGGGCATCAGCACCAACCACCTGATAGGCTTTCTGTTTAAAAAAGCAAGAAGACGGGAAGCAGTGCAGTCCCCAGCCAGTCCCTGTGTGAACAGTATTTGCTGGGAGGGAGAGTTGCTGACTAGTAGCCAGCTGCTCCAGAGCACACCTCTGTTGCTTCTCTCAGCTTCTTGGTCACAGGAGTTGGACGTCTGAAATGTCATTATGCAGGCTGAGCTGATGAGAGCTGAAAGAGATCATCCCCTGGTTTACTCAGGAGCTGTTGGAAGATGACAGACCTTACCTGCTGTTTGCATGGGTGCCTTGGTTAGCTCGCACCCCCCACCCTGCTTTCCTGGCTCTTGGTGTGGTCACAACTTCATGACTTGTCATGGGAGGGTTCCTCTTGTTCAGCCCTTCACCCAGTGCTGTGGCAGCTTTGTGAAGAGGAGGAGGAAAGAATTAGTTGTTTGTCTTCCCACTTGTGACAGCCAGCCAAGTAACTTCTATGGTATCAGGTGCCAAAACTGTTCTCCAGAGCAGAGGAGTGCATAGTTACTGCATATTTTATATCCAAAAGTGGAGAATACAATTAAAAAAAAAAAGCTTATTGTTACTGCTTGTCTGGTTTATGCTTTCACTGTGATGTTGCCAGGTACTTTTTTCAGTGATACAGGAATACACAGGGGTTTGAACTGGTGCTCATTAATGTAGCATCCTGGTTTGGTACTGGCAAATACCAGCTGCTTTTGAGAAGAGCACCAATGGGGTAACTAACTTAAATATGACTTATTAAGTCTTTCTTTAGGTTAGATTCTACCTTGAAATACGAAGTTTAGACTTGTGATTTTCGTACAATTCTCCAATTTACAGTTATTAAAAAAACCCAACAACATATAAATATCTAGCCCTAAACTTTTGGCACAAAGATATGATTTTTTTTCTCTACAAAACAAGAAGGTGTGTTTTCTGATCAGATGAGGTCATTAGAACTTGTAACAGAATTTATGTTTCATATGGGAAAAGCTATTTATATAATACTGACAAAGGTTTGGATCACATCTCTGTGAATGCTTCTAAAATACCTCATTGTGTGAAGAACACAAAAAATAAAAAAATTGAAGTGTTAGCAGACCTTAGTGAAAGGTAGATGGCATATGCTTGAAAGAAAATTTGTGGCACATTCTTATAGCACAGTTGACATATTATCTGGCATACTGTCCCAATTTCATTGCTGTTGCATGAAATTGTCCAAATCTTACTTAACACCTCCCCTGCCCTAGCACATTTTAAGAGTTTTTTTCCTCTTTTGTTCTGTTAGTTTGTTTTTGTTTTCTCTCTTGCTAGTGGTTGTGTATGACGTAGTGCATGACTACCTATCTCAAGATGCTGACTTGTTTAGCAGGTGAATTGAGCAGTAATGGATAGGTAGAGGAATTCACTTTTTACAGATGAATGTTAATAAACAGCATGGGTTTTGGTTTTGCTCTTCTCTCCTTCAGACTTACAGTGACGATAGCCATTTCTGGTCAGGTCCTGTTTCCAAAGTAACCAGAAGGGTAATGTTGCTGGGAAGAGAGGAAGCTGAATCTGATGTGCGCTTCTGTCAAGAAAACATGTGTTTCTATGGCTTTGTTTGCTGGTTATTTCAAATTTTTGCCAGTTTTGAGATATAGCAAAGAATGGACCTACTGTAACAAAAAGGTGGTTTTTTGTTTGTTTAGTCATTGAAGACACTGTTTCCAAACTTTGTGAGTTTAAATGCCTGTCAGTGTTCTAATTAGGTATTTCTCTTAAATTTA